TCATTTCAACAACCAACACTCTGCCCAGGCATTGGTTCGCATGCTCTACAGAGCCACAGGTTTCCGAATTTGTGATTTGTTTTTGTTTTTTAGAGCTCAAGATCTGTTAGATTTAAACTTCTTTGCCAATAACCAAACACTTTAAGGGATGAGTCACTGGGCTTGGGAACTTAGTCTTATGGGACATCTAGGTCAACTATCCTAACATAGTCCACGAAGATAATGTTCTACATCCTACTCTGGTAAGTAGCAACTGACTGAGGTCTTACAAGCTTACAAGGGGCACCTAAGATGCAACTACTGATCTCTCTCTGTTTGGAGCAAAGAAGAGTGAAGAAAATAAAGGACTCATGGAAACAATTAGTCTAAAGAATTAATAGACCAAAGGAACCTCAGCCTCTATCTATTACCTTGAGACCAAAAGAACTAGATGGTGCCCAGCTATCATTACTAACCACTCTGACTAAAATCACAGGAGAAGGTTCTGGATAGAGTGGGAAGAAAATGGGAAACAGAATTCAAAATCATAACTAAGACCAGACTTACTGGTCGTACAGAGACTGGTGAAACCTCCCCAAGTCTGTGGTCCTTAAATACCCTTCAAGCCTGGAACTGAACTCAGCTCCGTGGATCATGTTTCAGCTGAACAACAAACAAGCCTGTAATGTGACTAACAACACCAGTGAGGAATGGACACTCCTCAGAACAACCAATCAAATGAGACCAAAGCAGGGTGGTAGGGTCGGGGTGGGGGCTGTGTGTTTACCTGGGATTATGCATCCCTAACAAATCCCATCCCATCGTTAAATTCCCTCGAGTCAGTTCCAACTCATAGTGGCCCTGTATTCCGAGGAGCGGCTGGTGAGTTTGAACCACCAACCTTGTGATTCAAACTGACCCCGCAGTCCGGTGCTTATCCTACAGCGCCACACAAGAAGCATCCTTTAAACAGCAAGGACAGCAGCTACGATAGTGATGGATGCTGTGCACCTATATTAGTGAGCGGAAGAGGAGGGATGTCCCGTAGGAGTGGTAGATGCAGAACGTAACCCTGCTCACTGTTGGTTGGTTTCCGTCTTGTTTTGTTTTTGCTTTCACTTTTTATTGTAAATTGGATGAAGGTTTACAGAGCAAATCAGTTTTCCATTCAACAAATCATATACATTTGTTTCATGTCATTGTTTGCAATTCCCCACATTGAAACATCACTCAGCCCACTTCCTGTCTTTTTCCCATTTCCATTCCTTCTTCTTTTCCTAATCCTTCTGAAGTCTGTCCTTGGGTAAAGGCTGCCCTCTTGGTCTCAAATGGTTGATTATTCTAAGGTGTGCATATTGCTCTCCTCCTCTAGACCTGACTAGTGTTGGGCTGAGAATTGAGCTACAGGGGTCAAGTTCAGTTCCAAACCTGAAGGGTAACCAAGGGTCTTAGTGATTCTTGGTCAACATCTCTTCTGGTTTTTAAGAAAATGAAGAAACAGGTTTAACAGCTGTGTAAGCAAACTTGTTAACTTATGCTTACTTTCAATGGTTTAGAAAGATTTCGGGTTCAAGGGTTTCCAACACAAAACACTGATCTAGGTATAACAATGAAGTTTGAGTAACTGTAACTATTAAACAATCTTCAGCTTTTCTCCACTTGTACTCAAACAGCTAGTGCATTTCGGTGACAGGTCAATTATGTTAAATGTTGCTCTTAAACCACATTACACTGAACACTGAAAACAAATTGAAAGACATGCTTTCTCATAAAACTCAAATATAGGCACTATATCTACAGTTACAAACAGAACATTTGGTATGTCTATTAATACTAGTTTCATTTAACAGCCGTTGTTTTTATTGTTTTTAAATGTCATGAAGTCTGTTCCTACTCATAGAGACCCTATATAGGGAGGGCTTCCAAGAAGCAGCCTACCCTCTGGGTTTGAACTGCTGACCTTGTGATTAGCAGCCCAGTGTTTATGCTGCAGCGCCACGCCAGGACTCCTTAACCACCTTAAGTGCCTTCGAGTGGGAATCCAACCCACAGAAACCGCTATAGGGTTTCCAAGGTGCAGCTGCTGGGTTTGAACCGCCAACCTTGTGGTTAGCAGTCCAGTGCTTAACCTACAGCACCACACAAGGCAAATAAATTTAAGCTTTTCTTAAGTTAATAGAGAAAATGAGCTGCAATACCAATACTTTGGGACTTGGGTCTTGGTGTTTGTATGAAATTCTGAAGCTTTGGTTTCAATCTTTCACTGTACTTGTGAGTTACTTTTTCATGTGTTATGGTAAGTGGATCTGGTCAAATAAACCATCCTTTAAAAACTGAAAAATCAATCAATCAATCAATAGCAAGGAACTGGTGACTTCTTTAAAGCCCCCGTGTGGTGCAAATGGCTAACACACTGGGCTGCTAACTAAAAGGTTAGTGGTTCGAGTTCACCCAAAGGCACCTTGGGAGAAAGACTTAGCGATCTACTTGTAAAAAAGCAACCACTGAAAATCTTATGGAGCCCAGTTCTTCTCTGACTTGTGTGTGGTCACAACATTGGAATCAATTTCATAGGCACCAGGGGGTCTCTGTGGGTTGCTCCATCCCCTTGCACTCACCCTCACTCCTACATGTATCCTAGCTCCTCTGGTTTTTCTGCTTGTCCTCTTAAAGCTGAGACACAGAGCTCTCTCCCGCCTTCCTCTCTCCCACTGCATTCCCATACAGAGTGAAGCCGTTGGCTGGAGCTGCAAATACTGCTTAAAGGCAGCCCAGACTAGAAATTGGTAGGAAAGAAATGCTAAAAAACAAAACCAAATCAGTCCTTCACTGAATTCCAAATCACCTCTAGCTTCTACTGTCTTTTGGACCCTCCTGAAGCCCCTCTTTCCCAAAATAGACGTGCTCATCTAGCTGCGGCTGTCTCCAGCCATGCTGGGTGTCAGGTGTGCACCTCTGTCTGTCTCCATCCCTGCAGCCCTGACAGCATCATCTTGCAGTGAGAGCCTTCCATACCCTGGACCTGCACTACGCTGCCTTGTGTATTATTCATGTGCATGTATTTTTAGGTGCGTAGAAACACACACTCATACTATCATGAAAGACCCAGCCTCTCTGGAAAAAAGGAGCTCTTGCAATACACTGTCTTTAAACCTCTAGGCTGGAAAAGAGCCAATCTATCATAGAAAACCCATCCTGGATGTTCAGAGACTGGAGATGTGATCTCAAAGAAGGAATTGCGAGGGCTGGCACCAGCCCCAACCCCAACCGTTTCCTCTCTGTTTGTTGGAAGGACCATGTTAGGAGATGGAGGGATTCTATCAATGAGCACACATATCATGTTTAAGATCTATATTTGGAGACATTTCAGAAGTAGAACTTCTAGGAAGAGAAACCTGAAACCCATCTGGACCAACTCATCCATGAAAACATTTCCTAAGCAGCTTCCATCACAAAGAGGTCAATCAGCCTACATGGTTTTATTGAAATGCAACTATCCCCAAGTGGGAAGAGACCTTAGGGCCTTTATCTCAAAGGGCAGCCTGGACTCCACAGGATCTCCACGCTAGCCCTCAGCCAGCTGAAGTTGGCCATTGACAAATTCAGCAGGGAGTGAGTGTCCGATGCTAGAGAGCTGGGTTTCCTTCCAATGGTTCAAGAGCCTGGTTTTCCAAACACATGGTCATATTATCCTCTCCTGTGACAGGTCAGTACCTGGACAGCAAGCTAAGGAGGGAACAGTCCGTCTGTGTCTACCCCCTGAGAAACGCATCTCCAGTTTTAGAGACTTTGCAAAAAATGGATCGAAAAGGTTCATCTTCGCTGAGGCTTAAGTCCATCTTGATACTGCATGTGTTCCTGCACCAAACAATGCCAGTCAGGAATAAAGCGCAGGATAGGTTGAGTACGAGGTTCAGAGCTCTTACTAAAGAGGAACTCCGCCAGCACCACACACCTCCATTAGAAGACGAGGCTACAGGGAGCCACGGGGCTGAAGACATCACCACAGAAGCTCACCTGCTCCCAAGGATCCAGAGCCCGAGAAGCATGCGGCTCAGCCTGGCATGACATCACCGGCCCGAAGCCTCGTGAGGAAGGACCAGTGAGGACACCCACCCCCCTCCCTGCGAGGCCGCCTAACCCCACTACCACACACAAACCCACCTCACCTGCCTTGTATTTATCTCCGTATCCATCCTTGTCTCTCATGAACTCACCACCTTAGTATTCCACCCCCACCCTCAGAAAATACTCTACCCGGAAACACATGCTCCCCTGGAAGAGGCGAGGAGGCACGGTTAGGATGTGGGGCCCACCCTGGATTCAAGCCTGCCTGGCTGAAACATAACCCGGTGGCCAGACCGACTCAATAAGCCTCCTTCCCCCAACATGCATGGCTGTGTAAAAGATCCGACCATAATAGAAATGGCACTCCTCACCAACACCCATCCAGGGTAAAGGCCACTTGGAATACATTAGCTCTGTGGTCTGGAGAAAAGATCGGATTCCTGGATCGATGTACTGCCTCCACCAATGGCCAATCTGCAAGGCCGGCTCCGAGAACACACGGCCCGGTCGACGAAAGCCTGCCCACCAGTGGATGAGGACTGGCCTGGGCTAACCGGCTGAAGGTCCCTCCACGATGCTGGGAGCCCTCTGGCCGGAAACCCAGTCACCGAGCTGCCAGAGTCCTGAGCTTCCCAGGCGAGGAGTAGTGATGCACGGCTGCTGCCTAGCAGTAAATACCACTGTGCTAGGTGTGCAGACAGACGATGCTGATAGTACCAGAAGCCGCTAACCACGCACCCCACTGCAGACCAAGGGGCCAACTCTCCTCTCTGGGCAGCATCCTGGGGCCGCCAGCTGCTCATTCTCTAGGGCACAGGATAATAGAAAGAGCCGCTACCAGGTAAAGACACTCAAAGCTACAGAAATGCCCAAACCAGCCCTGGCTCCGGGGAGGCAACACTAACAAAGCGGCACAGCCTCCCCTCCTCCGGGGCTCCAGGCACAGCACTTACATGGCCTCAGAAGCCTCCAGGTTCAGGTCGCTGGCTGGGAGTGGCTGCAAGGACTGCGACCCTCCCATCCTCGCTGCGCCCGGGCGTGCAGGCTAGCCGCGAGCAGGGCCAGCGTCCTGGCGCGATTCCTCCAGCGGGGAGCCCGGGGCGGCCCGGCCGGCGGCCGGGGCTGCTGCACTGCGGATCACGGCAGCTGTTGGCATCCGAGACGGCGGCGGCAGCGGTGAGCTGCAGCTCGCGGTTAGGGCCAGAGCCCTGGGAGCGCGCGCCGGGAGTGTGCGTGCGGGTGGCCGGGGCACGCGCAGGGGAGCGCGAACGCGGTGTGGTCCGTAGAAACCCTCCACTGCTCTTAAACCCTCCGGCGGCCCGGCTCCTGTGTGTGACACGATGATGTCATCGCCACTGAGAAGCACCGCCGCCGGCATCACCACAAAGCTCCATCGCTGGCTCCGGAAACGGGGCCGGGGGG